TGCAGTAGCACTTTACACTTTGCAGGTGTGAAGCGCATACCAAACCGCGAGGCAGAATTATTTAGATTATTTGGTATTGTTTGCAATGCCACGGGGTCAGATCCTAGAAGAGCTATGTCGTCTGCGTACTCGATGTCTGTGAGCGGAGGCCCAGGGAGCACTTCGACCCCACAGGCACTAGAGGCTGGTAGTGCGTCTTCCATGATCGTATCGATGACGAAGTTGAAGAGGAAAGGGGAAAGAGGACAGCCCTGTCGGACACCACTGGATGTGATGAACTCAGGAGAAAGCTTCCCGTAGACCTTTACACGGCCGCGGGAGTTGGCGTACATCGCCTTAATGAGGTTCAAGAATTTATGAGGGACATTTTTGCTCCACAGACAATGCCATAGTGCTTGGCGGTCCACAGAGTCAAAGGCAGCTTTCAGATCAAGAAAAACAACCATTGTTGGTTGCTGGAAGCAGTGTCGCTGTTCCATAATCTGTCGGAGGGTGAAGATATGGTCGATGCAACCTCTTGCAGGACGGAACCCAGCTTGGTTTTCACGGATCTGCCTCTCCCTGTGTTCAGTCAACCTTCGAAGGATAAGACCAGAGAGCACCTTCGATGCCACAGCTAACAGGCTGATGCCACGGTGGTTTTCGCATAGCGTCCGTGTACCCTTTTTGAAGATAGGGATAACTGTCGACATGCCCCATTCTCCAGGCACTTTCTCTTCGTCCCACATAGTACCAATAAGCATTGTCAAGTGGGTCACGAGGGGATTTCCGCCTTCTTTGAAGAGGGCTGGATACAGACCGTCCGGTCCCGGTGCCTTCTCACGTTTCAGTACGGCTATTTCGTGCTTTATTTCTTCTTCCGAAGGGCGATCAAGGTTCACATTCCATTTACCCGTATGCATTATCTCCACCGGCTGTGTTGCAGGAGGCCAATTAAACTGCTCTTCGAAGTGTTCGGCCCATCTCTCCAGTCGACGTTTTTGCGAGTGAATTAATGAGCCAACTTTTTCACTTATCGCTTCGCTGACCGTTGCTTTCCTAGAGCAAGTCGATCGTATCAGTTGATAAAGGGCGTAAAGTGCTTGTGCACTGGCAGATTAAGATAGTAAACACATCTGTCTACATGGACAGACGTATCGGTCCCGGTGGTGCAGTCAAACATGATATTTCCATCCCGATTAAGAAGGCCAGTGCAATTTTCGTGAACCTGTAGTACGTGTGGCATAGGCGTGATATTAGCATATCCATCAGGGCTCGAGTTAAAAATGCTGCGGTTAGTTAGTTATACGTGTTGAAATCAAGGCCGCTGTGTTGAGGTTGTTAATAAGCTTTCAAGTGGTATCCCTAGAGTACCGCCCGAGTCGGGTGGGGATATCGCATCAGCACAGGAATGGTTTCCCGAAGAAATAATTCGCCCATGACACGTGAACTAATCATAATCAACAGGCTGCTTTAGCTTGGACGCGTGCTCCGTACGCCAGCTGACAAATCCTTCGAAGAGCCCTTTTTCCTACAACGCAAATGACGGAATAGATGCGAGGAACGTCAAACAAAGACTCGGCAACGAAGTATGAATGCCTTTACCAGCAAACTCAACTGCGCTGGTCATTGCCATCTCTCTGGAAGGGGAAGCGAAAGAGCACAAACATGGCACAGTCGCGCACACACCCAAGTTGTTGCCCTCAATACATACATTCCCATCTGACCCTTCCAGCGCAAAGACCCCTGATATTTTGTATTAACGCAGCTCTTATAAATCATACGGCCTCCAGTGCGTAGCTATTGAGCTTTATCTCCACGTCGAGGAAGGAAACTGTGACAACTACTACCATTATACAAGTACGCGGTCTAAGTTGGCAGTATGACGATGAATCATTCTGATATATTGACAGTCAAATGTTTGAAGACACAACCACCCACTACTTGCAGGGATCGCGCTTCAAATCCAATGGAACCGTAGCTTTGTCTCACACACCACAACCACTCGAAGACAATATTGACGACGAGACGAAACATTGTTCAGGGATAGCTGATGTTCAGAAAGTAGAAAGTTGTTACAGTCAATTAAACCAAAAACGAGCTGAAAACACCACGTACTGTATAATGGCTTTTGGGTAATGAGTGCA